AGTGGCTACACCTGTAATCCTAGCACTCTGGGAGGCCAAGGTGGGAGAATTGCTTGAGCTCAGGAGTTTGAGGCTAGTCTGAGTAAGAGCGAGACCACGTCTCTACCAAAAAGAAAGAAAGAAAAAAACCAGCTGGGCATTGCGGTGCAAGCCTGTAGTCCCAGCTACCTAGGGAGGCTGAGGCAGAAGAATCGCTTAGAGCCCAGGAGTTGGAGGTCACAGGGAGCTACAGTGGCGCCACCGCACTCTACCCAGAGCGACAGAGTGCGACTCTGTCTCAACAACAAAAAGAAAAAAAGGCAACTGAAGACCCCTTCTTACAACCTCCCACCCCTTAAAAAAAAAAAAAAAAAAAGAAAAGAAAGGTGTTTAACTTCCCTGAGTCTTAGTTTCCACATCTAAAACAAATGGCAGGTAATAACAGCATTCACTTCATACGACTGTTGAAAGGATGAAATACAGCTACTTCTTGGGACACAGAAGTAGCCTAATAAATATTAGTAATTATTCATTTTTTATTTTGCATATACCCACAGTCATATCTCTGGGAAGAATATATAAGTTTACTTCTCCCCACTAAAAGAAATTGTCTTAAATGAGGACTAGGCAATAGAATGCATTCTTTTCCCTGAGGGATAAATGAAAAAAAATAAAATCATATATATATATTTTTTTTTTTTGACGCTTCACAATCTTCATCTCTCTTTTTGCCTTTTCTTCCCATGTCTACATAAAATCTTTCCTGAGCTCCCGTAGGCCTGGCTTAGCCACTGGCACTGCTGGCTCTTGGGAGGCAGTTCTTATCTCTGTTCTGCAATAACACTGTGGCCCAGGGCAGGACATTTAACTTTGTAGGGCCACAGTTTCCACATCTGTATAATGAAGAGTACAGTGGTGGAGTAGATGATCTTTAAATTCTTTTCCAAATATAAAAATCCATAAATAAGTAGTTGATGACTATTATTAGTACATTCACATCAAACACTGACCAAAATTCTTAGAAAGTACATATTAATCCTATTTGGAATACCACACAAAAATGAGCATAAGTACAACAACACTCTGAAAGCTAAATTTTGCCTGGTCACTTATACAGAACACATAAGCACCCTCAAGCTTTTATTTAAATTAACTTCCTTACCACAGTGGAATGGGCTCCTATTAATGCAGAACTTTCTCTTAAGACTACCTAATGGTCCTTTATGTACAAACTTCAGGGTACAGTCACTAAGCATTCTAGTCATTATAAATTACCAAACCAGTGCTTATAATTTCAAGGTAACTGAGCAGAGAACTGATAGTTTGGAAGAATCAAAATTGTCATTCAGCATCAGAGAAGATGACTAAGTAGAAAGCCATTTAAAACTCAATTACTTTCTTTGACTCTTTGTGTTACCTAAATTTTTCTCACTGTGTTTCTGTAGAGGAAGAGAGGTCTAATTTAAAACGACATTGTGGGCCAGGCATGGTGGCTCATGTCTATAATCCTAGTACGCTGGGAGGCGAGGCAGGAGGATTGCTTGAGCTCAGGAGTTCAAGACCGGCCTGAGCAAGAGCATGAGTAAGACCTCATCCCTACTAAAAACAGAAAATATTAGCCGGGCGTAGTGGAGCTCAGGAGTTCAAGACCAGCCTGAGCAAGAGCAAGAGTAAGACCCCATCTCTACTAAAAATAGAAAATATGAGCCAGGCGTGGTGGCATGTTTCTGTAGTCCCAGCTATTCGGAAGGCTGAGGCAGGAGGATCGCTCAAGCCCAGGAGTTTGAGGTTGCAGTAAGCTTACAATGATGCCGCTGCACTCTAGCCCAGGCAACAAAGTGAGACTCTGTCTCCAAAAATAAATAAAATAAAATGACATTGTGGGTTAACAATTGACATGGAAATATCTTTACCATATACATTTTTGGTGAAAAGGGCAGATTACAAAACATGACCAGCAATATTAATCCCATTTTGGTAAAAAAATCATACATATATATGTACACATAGACCTGATAGAACATACTTCAAGTTGTAAGTTTATAATTTTTCTTTAAAATTTTTTTTGCATATCTGTATCCTATTTTTCTACAATGAATGCTTATGCCTTCTGAAATATAATCCAAACAGGCATCTCATTTAACAAGAAAGCTGGATCTGGCACCCAAACTATAACCAGATCCCTCCCTAGAGCACAGCTCAGCATCCCTCACAGAGGCACTGACATCCTTCCTTCCATGTGCCTGGGGCTGAGCTGGGGTGGGGGTGCTAAGATGTTTTAGGTACCAGCCATCAGGTACCACCAAGATGGTCTCAGATCCCTCCCTTGTGTTCACCTCAACCTTCAGAGCCACTGGCTTCCCACTTATTAGCTTTACCAATTTGTAACCCTCTGAGGAGAGTTTGCAAAACATGATCAAAGGTACTAAATTCTGGTTCTGGTTTCTAACTGTCACATTCACTGATTTAGGAGAATCTATAACAGAAGAATCTAGGTTACTCTGGCAGAGATCCAATTTTAAAAGTTGGAGTTAACTATTGCCCCTCATTTTAGGCTGCCCAATGCTGGTTCTTTCCGATCATAAGGAAAAAAAATAAGCTCATCATGTTTAAAAGCATCATCTTCAAATACTAGCACTTTTGTTTTTACCACAAAGTACTGACTCTTAACAGATTCTCTGGTATATTAAAGGCCGCCAGCATCGAACATTCCAAGATCTGATCAGCCAAGAACAAGCTTATCTATCACCAGGTGGAGGTATCATTACATTATAAGGCGTAAAGGTTGTTCTGACACCTCAGTCATCTACCAACAAACAGGTGGTAAGGAACTATGATTTCCCACCTAGTAAAAGCCATACAAAGATAAGTGACAGCAAGACATATATCAAAGGCAGTAAAGATGAAGGCAATATGGGGGAAAGGAGAATAGAAAAAACAGAGGACAATCTTCAGAAGAGTGTTCTAAGGAATTCCTCCCACTGGGTGAACCAAGAGTTTACCAGACCCAGGGCTATCAGAGGCACAAAGCTACACTTCAATGCTATTCACGTGCATTTCCCATAGCGTGATATCTGGCAAAAGCTATGTACTTAAAAATAAATTGCTTTTTCATCCCTTCCTTCCCTTATCTTTTAAAAAACCATCCACAATTTTGATCAGAACCTCATCCTCTGTTACAAAATGTGTTAAGCCAAACTACAACAAAGAAGCATAGCGTCTGCACAGCATTATTTTAATGCAAGAAACTAAAACTGCCAACTATAAGGATCTGAAAAATGTGCCCACTTGGGGCTTATTTTGGAGCTGAACCACTCCCTTCACTAATTATGCCTCAAAGGAAATATATCAGGCACTGTGGGCAAAGAGGGAAAACAAGTCTAATTACAACATGTGCACTTGGTGGATGAAGAATTTGCACATTCTTGAACTCTGGCCATATTTCAGAGACTTTCCACTTGTAGTTTAATCTCAATGAAGAGGAATGGTTAAAGATCAGCTGCACTTCAACTAGGACTCAATCAAAAAAAGACATAAAGAGAAACTGTCCACATTACTTACAGGTGATACCACAAGGGAGGCCTACTAAAAATTTCAGATAACCCTGACCCCATGTATCAACTGGTAACAGAGGAAGTGGTTTGTATTTTTAAATTAGGACTAAAAGTAAGACCCATTTCAAGAATATTCTCCACTGGAGAAAACACATCTTGAATTTAAAGAAACATATGCAAAGGCTTCAGGCCCCAGGAGGTCTTACAGAAGCAGTCCCTGATCAAGACCTCTCATCCATAGCCCACCTGCTTCTGCCTTACATAGGTGGCATCTGAGACAATGAATTTGGTAGTACTTCTGCTGGAGAGAGAGGCAGAAAAAACCTTCACAAATCCCAAATGAGAAGGCATCTAATTAGGCATATGGATTAAGAACCACTCAAGAAGCCTGCAGTCAGCATGGCCTACAAGTTCTGATGTCCCTAACCTCCTCCCCTATAACTCTCCCCTTCGCCAGTGGGCCTCTGACACTCTGGCTTCCTTACCTCTCCTCCAACCCTCCACACTTCCACTCCATGGCCTTCACGGGGGCTGTTCCCTCCTCCAGGACTATTCCCTCAGACCCCTTATATTTTCCAGTCTTGGCTCAAAATGCCACCTTAGCGAGGAGGAAAAAGTTGTCTCTTCATTCTCATGACACTTATCGCCGTCTAATACACCATATAATTACTAATGTGTCATATCTGTGGTTTACCCTCCCTCCCCCTCAAATAAGTTCCAGGAGCAAGGGGATCTTTGTTCTCTTCACTGATGTATATCACAAGCGTTTAGAACAGTGCCTGACAACATGGAGTTCCAAGAGTATTTTCTGAATGAATGAATGAATGAACTTCTTGACAGTAAAATTCCAGGAGGACAGCGAGAGGGTGGAAAGGGTAATGGTGAGGGGGTGAAATGAAAGGGAGAAAGAAACGACAGAGAATTCACAAGGAAGAGGCGGAGGCTGGCTGAGGCCAGGGCCGACCCACAGTTTCTCCTCGCAGTGCTGATGGGAGGCGGGAGTAGGTGCACCGTATCCCTCCAGCGGCATCAAATGGCACTTAGAGAGCTAAGACAGGCGAGCTCTCAAGACTCACCGAGAAAGTCCAAGGTTAAAACAGACCCGAGAGGGTCCCCTCTGGGGCCCCGACCTCCAGCCCTTCCCCTCCGAACAGTGCCCACAGCCCCAGTTCCCCTCCAGTGTACCCAGGGGCGTCCCGGGTCCCAGTACCTTTCGGGATTCGGCCCCTTCACCTGGTCGCCAGCAAGCTGGGCCCTGCGTTCCGGCCACCTGCCTGCCCACCCCGGGGTCCCCACCCTGGCCCGCAGGGAGGCCTTAGCGCGCCCCTGTAGCCTCGCTCCGCCCGCCTGCACCCGGCACAGGGCCAGAGGCGCCCCGCGGCCCTTCCCCCGGCGGGGAAGGGGCTCCCAGCGCCCCTCGCCCGGGCCGCTCTAGCCCGACGCCCCGCCCGTGCGGCGCCCCCTCACCTCAGGGCGCACGTACGACACGAAGGAGGGCTTGGGCGCCTTGGTGCCGCCGCCACCGCCAACTACCCCTTTCCCCAGCATACCGCCGCCCCAGGAAGCAGCGACGCGCGGGAACAGAGGCGGCAGCTCGGGCTGCAGCTCCGGCAGCGGCGGCGGCCACCAGCACTAGCGGCTGGGGCTCCGCCCATCCCCAGGGCCGCGGTAGCCGTGGTACCGCCCGCATCCGGCTTCGCCGCTGACACCGCGAGCCCCGCCCAGGCCCGCAAGCCCCGCCCAGCCCGCGCGTCTGCCCAGCGAACGGAGACCCAACAGCCAGAGGCCACGCCCCCTCCCATTATGGCAGGCGGGTCTCACCCGCTGGGATTTGCAGCCTTCCTGCGGCAAAGCCCGCCCCCCCTGCGTTCTCTGATTGGCCAGATGCGCTGCCGGTCGAGCCCCGCTCCAAGCCTCTACTTGAATAAACCCGGAGAGATGTTTCCTCTAACCAATCCAGAGAGCGTTCTCTCGGACTTCCTAGCTATTGGATAACGAGGATTTCGCCGTCGTCCAATGATCCTGAGGTCACTAAGTTGTCTTGGGCTGGTGTTCACGACAGTCGTTTTCTTCCCTTTGCTTGGTGTTTTGGAATGAAATGTCCAAAAGTGTGATGTATCTAATCTCCCCCTATGAGTTCCAAATCTACATCAATGACGTTGAGGTTTATTATTTTAAATGTTGACAAAAATGAGACAAACCAAGTGTTAACAGGCACTAAGGAGTAAGTTTGAATGTTTGCTCATAAAGGAAGTTGTCAACTTCATTTTTCCCAAGCTGTTTTTTATTTCTTTGTTTTTCTAACAAGTAGAATATCAAAAGCCTTTTAAAGATTTATTTTATCTACTCTCGCAGGTTACTTATAAAACCCTCATTTTTAGCCAAGATTACAAAGAAAATTCATTTAAATTCCACGTTTGGCGCCAAGCCTTGTGGTAGACACAGATGAATATGACACGACCCAGCTCTTATGAAATTCAGCCTCGTGGAAAAAAACTGGTAAATCTTGGCAGTTAAATTTTTAGGTGTCAGGCACCCCACTGAGCATTAGTCTTATCAGTGACTGGTTTTTATCTTATCTCCATGCGCTCCCCCTTCCCAAATCCACTCCAAGTAAATATAAAATCTAAGTGGAAGCATGTGCTTGCTTTTGCAAACATAGTTTCAAGACAAGTCCTGTAGCCCCATTTCCAATCAGATTGCCATCGTTAAGCCTACCTGGTATAGCAGCGCTGGAGCCACCACTGAGTTTACTTATCCCCATTTTCAGGTGAGAAAACTAAGATGCAAGTTATTTGCCCAGGTATCGCAACTAGTCACTGAGGGGGCTGGGATTCCAATCCAGGTTTGTCTGATTACAAAGCCCAAATTCTTAACATTATAATTATTCAGATTAAACCGGGCGTGGTGCTGCTCGCCTGTAATCCCAGCTATTAATACTTGGGGAGGATGAGGCAGAGGATGACTTGATGCGAGGAGTTCCTGGGCAACATAGCGAAACCTCATCTCTATAAAAATTTTTTTAAAAAGAAAACATACTCCTTAAGGAGGTATTGAGAAATGAATTTATTTGTCAAGACTAATAATATCATTTTATATTTCACAGTTTTTACATTCCAAACTAGAATGGCAGGGCAGGCCGGGCGCGGTGGCTCACGCCTGTAATCCTAGCTCTCTGGGAGGCCGAGGCAGGCGGATTGTTTGAGCTCAGGAGTTGGAGACCAGCCTGAGCAAGAGCGAGACCCCGTCTCTCCTAAAAATTGAAAGAAATTAGCTGGACAACTAAAAATACATACGAAAAAAAAAAAAAAAAGAAGAATTAGCCGGGCATGGTGGCACATGCCTGTAGTCCCAGCTACTCGGGAGGCTGAGGCAGGAGGATGGCTTGAGCCCAGGAGTTGGAGGTTGCTGTGAGCTAGGCTGACGCCACGGCACTGTAGCCCGGACAACAGAGTGAGACTCTGTCTCAAAAATAAATAAAAATAAAATAAAAAAATACAAAATAGAATGGCAGGGCAGACGTGTACAGTCTGAGCAAATGCTTGCTTTCTTGCTTTTCAAAGTACTTTGAATTTCCATGATCTTCTACCATAATCACTATGTAAATGTGAGTACCTGTGGCCAGGGCTGACTTCTTGGACATGCACCTAGTGCAGTCACACAGGACTTTGCACTTTAGAGGGCTTGGGGTTTAATGCTTTGCGATTTTTGTTAACAAATTTCTCTGAATTTGTCTTTTTTAGGTGAGGGTTGTTGGGATAATGGAGCACGTGCAGGTGTTGTGGAGACTCTGCCCACACGCAGTCCTACCTCCCACCCCTCCCAACTTCCTCTCAGCTGCCCAGTACCCCCTGGGACCCTGGCCCTCCCTAGCCAACTGCACGACTGCTGCCCACCTCTGCCAGAGACAGCACCAGGTCTCATTACCCAAGGGTGTGGGTAATAATATAATAAGATAATAAGATAATCTCGTGTGCTCCGCAGTCGCCATCCACCTTCCCGGTGGGTGCCTGGGCACTGTCTAGCAGAGGGTTAGGGTCAGGCACAGCCCCGCCGACCCCCTCCAGTGTCTCCGGGTGGGATAAGGCAGCAGCTATCCCTGCCCTAGCCCGGGAGCGCCACAGCGACTGGTGGAGGCCTTTCGCATGCCCCCATCCAGGTACCGAGTGTGGCCTGGGCAGAGGCTGCAATCCCTTGGGGTTGCCCAATCACTATGAGATGGGAGTTGGCTTCCCCGCCCCCTGGCCAGAGCCACATTCTCATTTTGCACTGGCCCTGCAAGTTATGTAGCAGGCCCAAACTAGGCCCTTTATTATTAACATCTCTGTGTCCTTAGACTAGTTACTTCCTCTCTCTGTGGTTCTATTTCCTCATCTTAAAGCGAGAATGATAACAACAATAATAATTACTTCAAGGTGGTTGGGGGATTGTTATGAACATTAAACAAGTTGATTCAGGTGAGGCCTGGGAAACAGCAAGAACTAAATAGGTGACAGCTATCCTCTGTATGATCTCACCAACCAGAACATAATTTACAGGTTCCAGGGATTGTACAAAGAGAAGCAAAGTGACTCCTCCCTGTTAATTAACTCTGGAACTTTGTTAAACAATGAGATTTTGTTTGGTTGGTTTTGTTTTTAACTTCTAGCCCAAACCTTGTACTAGAAATAATGGCTTTTGATTTCTAATTCACCACACCAAATTTCCCTCCCTTCAAACCATCCTGCCTTAAATAATTACTTTATCCTAACCTTCAGCATCCATCTGTGGTCAAGCTGGTTTGCAATGTGATGGTTCTGAGAACTTGACACTACCACTAGATCCATATACTTTCAGAAAACTATAGCCAATAAATGAGGAAAGTTTTTAAACACTGAAAGGCCAGCTGCTTTGTGATGGCCCAAAATTCATATGTTGGAATTTAGTTGCTAATGAGATAGTACTAAGAGGTGGGGCCTTTAGGAGGTAATTACATTGTGTGGGTGGAGCCCTCAGGAATGGGATTAGTGCCTTTTTAAAAAAGGCCCCAGAGAGCTGCCTGGCCATCCTTCATGTGCGGGCACAGCAAGAAGGCACCATCTTTGAGGTAGATCAGGCCTCACCAGACACTGAATCTGCTGATGCCTTGATCTTGGACTTCTAGCCTCCAGAACTATGAGAAATAAATTTCCATTATTGATAAATTACCCGTTCTAAGGCATTTTCTTATAGCAGCAGGAATGGACTGAGACACACTTCCAGAGTCCATTTTGACTCAGTGATGAAAACACACGCTTTCTTTAAAGAGCAGAAAGGGAATGAGGACAGAGAACAAACTAAAATCTGTTTCCATTTTGCTTTCCAGTGATCAGCATATTTTTATTTGATCTTTAGGGTGTGGGTCAAATCTCCTTGGGAGAGTCTTTCTCAACTGACTAAAAACTTCCTGTTCTGCTAAGGTCAAATAATTCTCCATCTATTCATAAACACAGATAGTAGCCCCTAGACTTTGAAATATTTTAGTTTACACAAAATAATTTACGATCGCTCTTTTCTCCTAATGATGTCCTAAGTTTTCTTGGAGAACTATAAGTAGGAACAGATCTTAGCTCACGTAGAAGTGCGTGCCAGACCAACAGCAGCCCCAGTTCTTCCCACAGACAACTGAAAGGGACAAGCAACAGCGTACTCCCAGGTAGGGGAGAACATGTTACTCTGAAGGACAGCTGAAAAGTAGCCAGTTGCATTCCTCATTCTGGGAGTTATTTGAAGCAGACTATTTGTGTGTCTTACTCATCTCTATGGTGAGTAAGGTGTCTAAATCATAGTAGGAATTTAATAAATATTTGTACCTGAGTGAAATAAAGTAGAGACGGCAGTGATTAATTAAGGAAGGCAGCAAGAATTCAAATTCTAGCATCCTATTTAGAGCCTGTGCTTTTAAATCACTTGGATACAAACTAGGACCTGATTTAAATATGTATATCCATGTATGTGTGTGCGTATTCAAGGACTAAGATGCATGTGTTATTTAGTGACCACTTGCCAAATTTCATCTTTAGCAAATAGTCTGGTGTCTGCAGACTTCCCTCTTCTTTCACTGGAAATAGGAAATTCCTTAGCCTCTTGCTACAACAAAGGGTCTTTCCACCCTCCTCTGAAGATGGTGAGGAATAGACCTGGATTAAGAAGCATCTAGATTGTTCTTAATCTCACGGTGTCTTAATTTGCATGCTGGGGAGACTTTGTGGTGGTATATTGATCTTTTAAAATTGATTTTTTTTTTTTTGCTGTTTCACAAACCACATAACCCAAGCTGGTCACAGGGAGGGAGACTTGATGAGCCTACTCTTTGTGATCTGTATTGTGCCTTCTTCAAAACACAAATTAATGGCCTGTTTGGTTTATTCATTAAATAAAGATTTACCAAGTGTCCATCATGACTCACCTCCCAGCCTCTCGCGATAAGACTAGAACTTCTCAAGAGCAGAAATGGTTTTGGTCTCCTTTATAACACCTAACCAACCACTGGATGCTTCAATATTAGTGACCCTTCAGGTGGCGTGCACTTATAGTACCAGCTACTTGGAGGC